CAAGGCATTTGGTCTTGTGGGTTTCACGCGTCACCCTACCGTGGATTATTTGATACCGTGGAATTAATAACTTGAGTACTGCCAGGTTGCCCAGGCCAAGACAGGTGAATTTTCTTGGGGAATACACAACCGGAGCCTTCGGTCAGCCAGAACCTGACCCAAAAAACAGACGGGCGGCGTGTGAAAATCTTAATCCATCGGGAACCGGTGTTCAGTTCATCGGATCATACGCTTGTCGGACGGGGTCAGACGTCCAAGTTGCCAAATACACCTCAATGCCCAATCGAGCCGGTGACCACTGCCACAGCCGAAAAGGTGTGGGTGTGGTTTGTACGTCTCTTTTTGGTTGGTTTAGAATCAGGGTTTTGGCCAACTCCTCTAGGTGAACTACTAGTTGTCCACCAACTCGGTTATAGCCCCAGATATTAGCTTTTCGTCCTCTCACTTTGATGGGAATACACCTCCGCAACACGAGAAGACAGTGAATAGAGCTTCCTCAGAAAAGGCTATTTGAGACGCTCGGTCGTATGGGAGCATTTCGCGAAGTGCAGGGGAGGGGTGACGAGCCGCATCCCTAGACACTCACTCCGGACAATAGTGGGGCTATCGTGATGCGGGGGACGATTGTGGGACGGGCTTCGGTCACACACGCCTCAATTCCCATGACGTGCATATCGGTTGTTTATTTTGCCAGTACGCGTACGCCTCTGTGTGTTTGTGTGTTTGTCCCCCTCCGCTGAAACCAGTGAATCATGCGCGATCAACGCTTCAGCTTTCGCTTATCTCCACCGCATGATTTTGCAATAGAATGGATAAACTACGCCTCAAGACGCTGTACTGGGACACCAATAGATTATGCTCGATCGATATACACTTCAGTGTTGACCAGATTCACATCCAGTTTGTTCGACACTTTCAAGCTATAACCCATCTCTGTGACAGCACCACAGAAGCACCTTCAAGCACTGGACAATCGAAATGACCGTTTTGGTCATATTTTCGGAACGGAATGAGATATCCCTATGACATCAACTGCAATAGAAATAACGTAACGAGGGCTGTCGAAAGATGTCATAATTTTTATGATAGTTAAGGAATTTTATAAGCAAGTCAGATATTAAAAATTGGAATGTTCCCAAAATGCATTTTTTTGAGGATGGGTTCGAATTCGATAATCTTTATCGCTGAAATCATATAATATTGCTTAATTACCTCCATGACATAAAGTAACTCGGGTGAATTTAGGTTAGCGTATGACATTCACAAGTAATAAGCGCAAACTGTCTTCGAATGACCTTATTGTCATGGTCGCATTTCTCGATTCAGGTTTACCATGGGAACACCACCGTGGTCGTTCTTAGAATAGTGATTACCGAAGCCACTGCCAATCAGAAATTGTGAAAATGTTCGATAAGTTAGTAAGTATTAGGAGATCGGAACACCTTTCGGTTATCACAGCTGAACCACTACGCAGTGTTTTGAGGTTGCTGCAGTCAACCCAGGGGAAATTATGGAGGCCGAGTATCAGCTGATGAATATCACACATTGGTAAGCTATGAATGAAAAAATCTATGCATCTGACGTGGTATTGCCTAGGCTCGCGGATCTGAATAGGGGTAAGACATTTTTCAGCGCAACGTTTTATGAAGTAGATCCAAAGGAGAGAAAATTTTAGGATCTACGTCGATGTCTTGGATAAGCATGCAGGTCGCCAGGGAAAAGAATAAACAAGCTTTAACATATAACCACTGCCCGTAAATAGCTAGAAGTGCTCGATACTGATGAATGGTTCACAGAATCTAGCTATCAAATATTACCTCACCGCAGTGAGAATCCTCACTCCTCATTTACTGTCTCTTTGTTTTCACACACACTTTCACACCTGTTTTATTCATTCTTGACTAACATCTTTCATCTTGCATTTCTATCCGGCTTTTCCCTATCCGATTATCGTGACTCGATAGCTTGTTGTCTATTGAACATTTTTCACACATACATTCATTCAACTTCAGCCTAGGCATTGCATTATTCTATTGACTAATCTAACTATATCCGTAAATGTCTGAAGCGATATACCGAAAAGAAATGCCTTCGCATTTCGAATTCGTTCTTCTGCATCGCTGAGATTATTTTATTATGTCATAAAAATGGTGACATCTTTCGACAGCCCTCGTTACGTTATTTCTATTGCAGTTGATGTCATAGGGATATCTCATTCCGTTCCGAAAATATGACCAAAACGGTCATTTCGATTGTCCAGTGCTTGAAGGTGCTTCTGTGGTGCTGTCACAGAGATGGGTTATAGCTTGAAAGTGTCGAACAAACTGGATGTGAATCTGGTCAACACTGAAGTGTATATCGATCGAGCATAATCTATTGGTGTCCCAGTACAGCGTCTTGAGGCGTAGTTTATCCATTCTATTGCAAAATCATGCGGTGGAGATAAGCGAAAGCTGAAGCGTTGATCGCGCATGATTCACTGGTTTCAGCGGAGGGGGACAAACACACAAACACACAGAGGCGTACGCGTACTGGCAAAATAAACAACCGATATGCACGTCATGGGAATTGAGGCGTGTGTGACCGAAGCCCGTCCCACATTAGTTCTCCGCACTTCAACGTGAGGTAGATAAATTGGTGATGTTTGGCGGTCATTCAGACATCGCTGGTAGGCTTGTCAGCACCGGTGAGATCAATGCGATAGCTTGAAATAATCCGAGGACATCTTGAAATGATGCTGAAACAAATTGAAATATTCGCCAGACATCTTGAAATAATGGTCAGACAACCTGAAATGATCAGAGGACATTTTGTCATGACAGAGGGGCAGCTTGACTTGCAAAAGGTATAGAAAGTTTAACGCGTCGCTCCGTGGTTTACATCATTCAATAAGCTAGGTTCACCTTACATCATCACCACCACCAGTACCATCATCACCATCATCATCACCATCTTCATGATCATCGTCATCATCATGATCAGCCTTAGTCTCGGTTCTCAGTAAAATCGGTAGCAGCTCCAAATTCATTTGATGTTTGATACTATTGAATTTCAAATTAGCTTTTTACGGTTTTTATTCTCAGCGGTTTGAGCAGACAATGCCAATATAAGGACGGCATATATCACTTCGTGCATCCGGGTCAAACACACCATTCCTCTTTTTTGAGCATCACATGAGATAAGGAAAAACAAAACTGACGGAGGTCATAAGGTGTATTCGGTGAAGAAGCTGCGGACATCTTTGGTTGTGGTTGTGATCGATTTGACCACCCTGTGTGTTTGTGTGGTGTTAAATGGTCCGTGCACAGGTGCTCCCGTGCACACACACACACACACACACACACACACACACACGCGCGTGCATTCATTTCCGTCTTATTGACGCACGCTCATGCAATCACGTGATCCCTTGGAAAAATAGTCGAGCAAACGATTACCATTGTCTGGGTGTCATGACCAGCACCACCACTACCAGTGCAATTCACTGCTAGGTTTTATTAGCCTGGTATGAACATGAATGATCCGAGCTTGTGTGTGTTTTTGTGCGTAGTGTATTATATATTAAAACAGCCGTCCACTCAGCCCTACCGACCCCCCCCCACCCTTTCGTTCTTCCACTCGTCTGCCACCTCCGTCCGCGTCGTTCAGAGAACGCCGTTCAGCGAACGCGAACGGCAATAAATGAGCTATATTTATATATTACGGATATCCAGTTGTAGCCACCATCTTTTGTAGTACATCATAACGATGAACGGATCACGTCTTGTTAGTTATAACAGGTTGACAAATCCAACTGACCTCGATGTCTACAGTGTTGTTGTTGTTGTGGTGGTGGTGGTGGTCAGCTGACTGTGAAATGTGTTTGAGCCTTCCGTGCTAAAAATACACCGGGTGGTTTAAACGTGATTAAATTTTAATTCATTACGAATGCTCAAAAACACGAACAGTCTGATCATTGTTGCTCTATAGTCCATAATACTGTTGCATATGTGTGCCTGCGGCTTAAGTGCGTACGTTCTGACAACCTGCGCATCGTTAATTTGCTCGTTCCACAGATGTTATCGATTGATATCTACTCAGATCGATCAACCTTGCCTTGTCAATACGGCCGGTCGACATTGGCCCAATCCTGATTGGCTGTTAGTTCTATTATTGCCTTGTTGAACATACACTTGACATGATTGATTGTGAACGACTCATGTTCTACTTTGCTAGCGGGCAACGGGTCCGAGACTACACAGTTTGAAACCCAAAAGTTACAAATACCACATCGATCTTTACCAGCGGAAAAAACCGGTCCGCAATTTGTGGTTTTCAGTTCAACCAACTTCTTCCAAATCGCTTCCTGAGTGTCACACACATACACACACAATCAGCCGCAACGACTGTACTGAAAAATCAATTTACTGGATAGACAGATCTCACTCATGGCGATTACAGATCGCTGCCGAACGACACGACAACTATCTACTCAAACACGTGGAACATCACTCATACCGGTTAAGCCCAGAATAGTCTGTGAAAACTGTGGATTCATGAGTGTCACTTGTGACGAAACCCAGCCATATTACGTTGTGCCTTCATTTGTTGATCAGTTTGGCCATGAGATCTACAACTGGGAGGTCCAACACAGTTTATTTGACCTAGTATTCTGATGGGCGTATCGTCTTCAGGAATTTACGTTTACCATTGAACATGTTGACGGCAAAGATAACGGGATTCCTGAGTTCCTGTCGCGTCCGATCAACGATGATCTACCAACATTTGCACTCCACTGCAAATATGACACATGAAACAGGCCTAACCGGTAACATGTATACCGCACGCCACAACCACCACAAATGCGTTAGTCATTGATAGTAGTTTTTCTAATGAATTTACTTTAGTTTACTGCGGAGGGCTCCTTGGAAAGGATCAGCCAGCTCCTGACATAATCACCATCATGAATTTCCTTTGCACAACCAAGTGCGAACTGCAAGGCACCAGTGAGTTTAGTTTTAAAATGCCAGTCACATCGAATCGACCTTGGTTACGGCACCCTCATTGGGCTTACACGGCTTTTAAACAGGAGCTAGGTGACCAGCCTAAAATCTACCACACCCTGGTAGTGCCGCCGCTATTTGTTCGCGACTGCTTAGTTGTTGCGGTATGCCAAAACTTATTCACAGCTAACCTTCTTCGGTGAAGGTGTCCCCCTATGTGGAACCCGGAGACGCAGCTGGTAGCATTCACCTCTGCTTAACCTGAGGTTATCTAATACACTTTGTCCGCCATCAGAATTTCTTGCCCATTCAACGTGTTCGTGGTTTTAGATCAACAGTAACCTGTAGTTTACAAGTTAAGCCAAGTCAGTAGTAGCTTTATGCACCCAGATGGGTGAATTTTCAGCATTTATACCATATTTATGGCTTCAAATTTACAAAATCATTACATAATGAAACTGAAAGCAGTAGATTGTGTTTGTCAATGAAACAACCAATTGAGCAGTTCTCCTTGTGAATAAGTAGACGTGAAAGGTATGGCAGAAGAGAATTACGATATGAAGAGGTACATGCTAATAAAAGCTTAAACCTAGAGCGTGTGGATGATGCATAAACAGCTTTTGAAAATTCGTTGTGTAATCGGTGGTGAGTGTCGGAGAGTATTTTGGCAGTGAAAATTTCGCATGCTTCTAGGTGTCTGTCTATGACAGAATCCACGAGTTTGTTCTCTGACAATGCCACTACATCTAGAGCTCTCGCCAGTGAATAAAAGTCTTTCTTCAACATGCCGGGAAAAATCACTGGAGAGCAACACAACCAGTGGGGTATCACTCATGCATTCACAAACCTAAAAATCAGCTTATGGAGAACAGAAAGTATTCTCAATCGGAGTGAGAAATATGAGAGCTTTCTAACTTTACAGAATGTGTTTTGAACATGCAGTGACCACCATAAATTGTGTGATAAGGTGACGCTAAGGTATTTTACTACTGTTGATTTCAGTACGGGTTGTTGATTGACAGAGAAGGTGGGGAACCTATCTGTACGGGTTGAATACGGTATATCGGCCAAGGTGGAAAAAAGAACATCCTGACATTCAGAGGCATTCAATGAGAGGGAACGGGACAAGGACCACGTAACAACATCGTTTAACTTGCTTTGAATTTCGGAAGCTTATTCAGGGGTCGATGCTTGCAATCTGAAACAAGATCATCTGCTTATTTACAGCCAATGAATGTAGGAGAAATGGGAAACTGTCCAACATACATTGAAAAGAAATATGGGGAAAATATTGCACCTTGCAAAACACCAGAAGAAACTGGGTGAGTGGAGGATTTTTACCGTTGAGGCACGTAAAGTGCCCTCTATTTGTGAACTAATTGCGGATCAATCTGCTAAAGTTTGGATTAACACCACTTTCGGTAATCAGGTTGAGCAATACCGCTCGATCAAGACTGCCGAAAGCGTTGTTGTAATCTAAGAACACTATTCCGACGGTCTTACTTTTCTTATCTAGTGCCGAAATTATTGAACGAACAAGGTATGCAACGGCATCAAGTTTTGAGCGCGAAGAGCGATATGCACATTGATGTATTTCGTCTTCCTTAGACTCAGTGACAAGCCACGGTAACAAGCATCTCTCAAATAATTTGAGCATGGCTGACGTGCAGGCGATGGGACGATACTTCCCAGGTTCCTTTTTAGGAACGGGAGTCCGTAACATCTTCACAGAGGACAGAAGGGTTCTTATTGGAAAACACCGACAAATCTGTGGTAGCAGTCATGGATCTTAGCTTTTCTAGGTTCTCTGATGAACAATTTCTTTGACGCACTATCTTGGATGGCCTGTTTAAAAATGTGTGTCGGTTAGTTTACTGTATACAGGAACATACTTTTAAGATACAATGATCTGAATTGCTCAGGGGAGCATGTTGATGGACTTCAAAAAATTGTGGTCTGTTTGTAAAAACGAAATCAAGTTGTGAATTGAGTCTGGTAGGAAAATGTACCAAATTTTGGAGACCCAGTGTGATGAGGAACATTACATCATGTCTGTTGAAATCACCAACAGATATACACAAAACGTCACTTGTTTTTGATATGATGGAAGTAGAAAAAAATTCAGAGAAGCTATTTATGTCAGGAACTAATATTATGGGTGACAGGTAAAAGTTTCCAAGAAGTATGAAATGAAACCCACTCAAAAAACGGAGCTTACAGTCGAAGCAGTGACAACTGATTTTATTCGTTGTGTATTCGTAGAGGACATCAGTTGATTTATTCCAGTTGTCGCTAAAGTATCTTGCAACACCTCCGCCTCGTTTACGGACACTCGCGGGACAGTCAATTCGATACAAGTTATATCTATCCACTTGTACAATTTCACTAGGGATTTCTTCGTGCAGCCACGATTCCTGAAGCATAATAATTCCCAGATTTTTGTACTCCTTTTTCCGTGTGATGTCTACTACCTCCTCGGCTGTTCCCAACAGAGAACGAACATTGCTTGTTAAAATGAGGGGATTTTGCATTTGATTAGTGCTGCACTGTCTGAGAGCGACTTGCCAACCTGCTCGATGCTTTCTCCCCCTGCCGTTTTGTGTTTTGATCATCCGCTTAAATTTATTTCTCACATTATTGTAATATTTCACAAAATGCACAGTTCACGCGATAACACAAAGATTTCATGAACGTGCTCGTGTAGGATAGCATTTAGTGTCCTCGAAATTGATAACGATGAGATTTGATGACAAATAAATCCACAGAAGTGTAAATATGATTTTCGAGATAAATAGCGCGGCAGAATTCAAAGACCCCGCAGGGGTACACAATCGACTGGCTATCACAGTGACACGAGGGTGTCTCGGGTTGAAAATCGTCGGCTGAGCCTTTGTTTTGAATGGTGGCGCGAATTTCACCAGAGATTTCAGCTGCTTTCGTACAAAACTACTCTATTTTTTTCACTACTTCCTCTGCTCGACTGAGGTTGCGAGCCAGAGCAATTCAACTCTTTGATATAAATTTGCATTTTGAAGACGCTAAATGC